GTTTGAACTAATGGGGTTTCGGTATTTGTAGCTGGCTCTCCTTCACTAAGAGGGTAATTCCTCGATTGTGCGGGGAAACAACTCTTTTGTTTCCTGGCACACTGACACTCGTTCGATACCCTCGACAGCCGCCGGTTAGGCTGGTTAATTAAAAAGGCTTCATTTTTTTGGGTTCCCCTACATTAAGTAGTAAAAATTAACTACAAAAGTTGAATATTCGCCAGTTTAATTAAGAGAAAGGTAGCTCTAGTAGCCATCTGTACAAAATAAACAAAATAAATTGTCGAATTCTAAGCGCAATTTAGGCCTCTACGTAAAGGTACACTCTCTATGCGTCTCTTGTAGGGTTTTGAGGACACGTTTGAATTAAAAGCTTAAAAAAAATATCACAAAAGTATGTCAAATACACCACCCAAGAATCATAATATTCGGCCATGAACATGGTTCACGCATAATATTGTCTTCCAAATTGGCCGTAAACGAAAAAAGAAATAATATGTTTATTCTACTTGTATAGCCACAACTGCAGGGTCTGGTTTAAGATCCTGTTGCCAGAGCTAGGCAAGTATCACAGAGCTGTCTTGTCTGATGTGCCAGATTTAGGTAAGAAAAAGAAATTCAAATGTGTAAAAAAAAAAAAGAAACTGGTTGTTGTTTTACGCTGAGCCTGAAGTCTCGTTACTCTTCAGAGATTTGTGGTGGGCTGTAGTAAGTCTACTCCTTCTACTTCTATCTAGCATCTCACGGTTGATTGTCTTGAGCTGTTTCCGTCGAAGTGCGGCCTGTGTCATTCTGAGTCTCTGTATTGAATAACAACACCAACAAAAAAACCCCCCAAAAAACAACCAACAACAACAACAAGAACAAACAAAAAGAAAACAACAACAAAACAATAGTAGTTAGTACCAGTGTCTGTGGTAAAATGTTTAAGATTTTGTTGGTGCATTCAGAAGGCGTGAGTTCGATTCGCGTTTTGGCAAGATATTATGTTATCGGAAATCTCCGTTTGTCTGCTGGGACATTGCACCCGTTCAGCGCCTGTTTGTTATGACAGGCAGGAAAGAACAGCCAGCCTCCTAAATGATTTAACTTGCGTTGCCGGGGGCGTAAAACAATCACTATGAATTCATTTCTTTAAAATAAAACTAATAACCAAGGAACAAAATCATTCATATTGATTTCTTATATTATACCTCCATGTCGTGATAAAGCCCACTTTTTAAATCTGGGCGAATACATCAGCTCAAAATTATTGTTCTCGAATTTGGTGCGAACAACAAAAAGATATTAGCAAAGAATCAACTCATATCCGGAACATTTCTTTAATAGTACAAAGCGATAAATAGCCTTCCACGGACACAGAATCACGCTGAATAATACCCCAAAATCTTCATGATATAGATACGTACATATAAAATATTGCTCTTTAAGGACCTGTCACGCATTTACACTATCTAAACTCATCTTTGAGGTAAACTTGTACATAAGTCACTTTAGACTTATACTTTTGTCTTATCTTCTAGCACGGTGTTGAAGAGTAGCGACTGGCCAGGGACCTAAAAAATAAAGAAACAAAAACAAACAACACACATACAATTCCGAATTTGTCTTTTATTTCATCTGATTTTTCGTGCAAGTGATTGGAGAGTGCCACAGATCTTTCATTTTTCTTTGCCTCTAGTATTTCTGTCTATTTGGTTTACTTTTCGTTGCACTAAATCACTAGATCTAAATCCAGGGTCACCAGACTACGGCCTGCGGGCCTGGCCCTGGCCGCGAGGTCAGTTTGTCTGACCCGTTGTCGTGTCACCATGGGGGGATTTAAAATAACTTGGGAGGTGTCTGTAGTGTGCTCAGGACTTGTTCATCAAAATGATTTGATCTAATTAAACGTCATGTTTTTATAGACTTCAAATTTCTAGCTGATGCCCTTGCTCCTGTTTAATGTGACAATTACTTCATTTAACACATTGCCCACACAAATCGGGGATTCATTACTTAATTTGTTTCATTTTTTTTGTTAGTATGTTTGCTGTAGTTTTTTTGTGTGTGTATGTGTGTGTGTGTGTGTGTGTGTGTGTGTGTGTGTGTGTGTGTGTGTGTGTGTTTGTGTGTGTGCATGTGTGCGTGTGCATTCAGTGTTTTGTGGTTTGATAAACCAATAGACTGGTTGTCTTTATTTTTTACGTTTTCAGCGTTTTGTATTTAACAAATTAGTTTTTCGGCCCTACTCGGCCTTCTCACAGTATCTGGCCTTTTTTGAAAAAGAAAAATCGGTGTCCTGTTCATTAAATTGTGATCGTTTTTGTGTTTCTCTTCGCTCAAATAGAATTACACAAAATGCAATTCCATAACGCGTCTTAACAAAACTGAAAATGTTTCTAGAAAATTTTTCTAGATTTGTTCTTAAGGCGCATTTGGCTGTATGCCACTTTGTCCATCTGTCTACGCGTTTTCCAGACAGATTTACAAGTAAACAGATAAATGCATGCACTGACAGACAGTTCGATAGACAATCGGTCGATCTATCAACCTATATACAGTGTTACACTATCAGTCTAATAAATCGATGGGTGTATGACGTTAAACCGAGGCGGCACAATACCGGTGCCGTGATCAGTTGTCATCGATCTGAAAATCAATTGAAGGATTTGTGTCAGCATTCCTTAATCAAAGTGAAGGGACGGGCAGTATTGTGGGTCGGTCGCTAACATTAAGGGTACCCTGTGGCTGGGAGAGGTCTGTCAAGAGTTTAACCCTTTAATGCCAGGCTACAAACTATCTAGGCTTGTAAGTTGTATGGTAGGATTGTATCATAAGCTTAGAGACTTGGCAGTGAATAGGTAAAAGCTACTTTAGCAGGTGTTATGTCTGTGTCGAAGAGACATTCTTTTAGAAAGCTAAGTCAACCGCAGAATCATTCTTTTATATGAAAGTAAAATATTTGAATATAATTTATGTCCCTTACTCCGGAAGGAAAATTTATGTTGATTTTAAAAAATGTAAATGACGGAGAATAGTTACTTGATTGAGAAAATGATTACATAAGAAGTTGGTGTGTTTAAAAAAAAAGGATTACGTGTTGTACATACATGGGGAACCTGATATCCGAAGGGAGTTCTGTCCTAAACATGTCTTGGGAAATCAAAACACAGTAGTCTCCGCCTAAAATCCAGATGCCCGAGATAAAATAAAATGAGGGATCATAGGCGAACGGGGTCTTAGCCGACGAACTCAGGGAAGAATCTACGGTGACCTATGATAAAGGCTTACAACCGGAAAAGTGGTCCCCCCTCTACATTAATAAAATAAACCGACGTGACCCCTGGGTGGGTTTATAAAATGTATAGGGAGCAAAGA